CGAGCTTTGAGATGGCTAGTGCTACGCGCTGTTGCTCGGTCTGGAGCATGGCGGATGCGATGGTCATCTCGATCGCTCTCACCCAGAGCAGGAGATTCCCTTATCCTACCCCTCAAAGAACTTAACGCTCACCATTAGCGGCTTAGGGCGGGAAAAATCATGCGTCACCGACGATGGCGTCATAGACGCAAACGATGCGGACATCTTCTGCTGCAGGTGCTCTAGCAGCGCGTTTTCGTAACCCGAAAACGACTCTAGACGCGCACCGATTGCCTCGGGACCTTGCGCCACAAGGTGTTGCACGCCCTGAGGGCCAAGCAAGGACATCAGGTTGTTATGCCCGTCTTGCATGCCCTGGGGCAAAGAGGCAAATTTTTCCATTTTCACAGAGTATCAGTCTAAAAACTCAGGTGTAGATTGACTACAAGTGCTACCAAGTGCAGCGGCTCTGCCGTAGCTTTGCGCTTGAGGAAGCGTAATTTAGGCTACCGACCATTCGTTCTATACTTAGAACAAATGCGAGTTAGCAGATCACAATCCGCTTACTCCAAGAGTAATTATTGCCTTAACCCGCTAATAACTCTTCCGTTTAAATTTTCAAAACTGATCCTTTTAATTTTTATCTGTGGCAAAGCCGCCTAATTTTAAATGTTTAGATTTTCCTAAATATACATAGTAAAATCTAAATACATGCATAACTACTGGCTACCTAGCCACATACCGCATTCAAGTTTGGGTGCAATCACACCATGTCCCTCTCGTGTGACACAAACACCTGTTACCAGGGTACGTGTAACCCCGTTACATTTACAGTACGACCACATTGTCTAATATCAAAAATCTGCTGGGATAATCTTTGATTTTTACAAATGCGTCAATGGCAATTGATATTATACGTCTTCAGCCGGTTCTGCGCGCGAACTTTGTACTTGATCATAGAGTGGATTGCGAGCACAAGAGCTACGAACGCTCATAGACGAGCATGTGCCGACCGTAGGACATCCCTTGCTGCTGCAGGCCTTATTTGCGCTCAACAAATTTGATGAATGATGATATTTATAAGAATTCCGACATGTACTTGTTAATCGATGTTTTCCTTGAAGCGAAAAATGGTTGTGATGATGGCAATATTGAGCTGCCTCTTATAGAAACGCCGGCTTTGATATAGCTGTCTCGATCCTCTCACCATCATCAAAACGCTGGACCAAAGCGAGATTTTAGTTCGTCGTCTCGCTCGTAGTACTCCTTCTTCTAGGTCTACGCTTTGGTGAACCTTTTACCTTCCAGACCACGACACGCGCACATGTACTGAGATGCAGTGACCCTCATATACAGTCTTCAATCTTCCAGCATACTCGGAAGCCACTTCGCTTTGATCTGTATGATGTTCGCATGAGTTGGAGTGGATCAACTTTTAATCGCTCCATTTTCGCTTTGTGAGACGTGATCTCTTATTCGACATGTCACGAAGTTACATGAAAACGACATTGTTTGTGCTCGCATATGGTAAATACGTCTGTTTTAACGCCGAAGAGGTCGAAGGTGTTGCAAGCACACACGCATCTTCCGGTAGAACTACGCGATTATTTGAAGCCCGTGTGCTTCAATCAACATTTGCTGTGCAAGCAATTTTTAACACCGTGTACATCGGCTATACCGGCTCCGGCAAGAGAACCTAACTAATTCACCAGTACTTGCCAGTATTCGCGACGGCTGCAATGTTGAGCTGCCTCTATATGAAATTGACAACTTCAATTAGGCTGCGATCGCTCCTCACACCACTGCCTAGAAGGACGGCGAAAAAGAAAGAGGACCTATTGTTACAAAGGAGTTCGCGGTATTTCTTGTATAAGTCTAGCCTCCGTGAAAGACCTATCTTGCCACAATCTGCGCACGTGGGACCAGCATCAAACTCGACGACCAAAGCAACATTTATGCGATTCAGTTTAGCAATTGAATATGATTAAAGTAATATTTGCATCTCGTGGAACTCTCTGAATTTGCTTGGTAAAAGATCAGAACTTAAGGAATAGCATAATTTCATGGTGTTGTCATCGTGTGAGTGCAGCAAACGATTTCTTCAGAGTACCAAGATCCGTCAATTTTCCTTCAACCGTGTCTCACGCAAACACAGAAAAGGCATCACGCGAGCCCACAACTTAACATGTAGAATCATAATAAAATCATATAAATCAGCTAGTAAAGTACGAATCGATTGACTTATCGTAAATGATAATACGACCGCAAAAAATGTTTCATAATAATTGATCCGTACTTTACCGGCACCTATACAATTAGCTGGTCGCATTCCACCATGACACGACAACATCGGTATTAAGTGAAGCGCGTTGCATAGCAACTGATATTTTCAGATTCATGCGATGCTAGTACATGCTGCCGATCCTGTTTGCATCATTCTTCGCAATTTTTTGATCGTTGGTGATGGCTGACCCTGCATTATGCTTACAAATGGCGTCCGAAATTTCGTGCCAGGTATAGAGCGGCCGCGCATCGTCTTAAGTGTGTGTATCTGAAGCTTTAGTGCTTCGAGTTCCTCTGTCTGTGAAAGTTCACTTGTGTTATCAAAAAATTTGACATTTTCCTTCCAGTTCATCCGGCGCCATAAATGCAACGAGTTGGCCCATTCCTTCATCAAGTCATTTGTCGGGGCTGCAAATTCAGTCACACGTGGTTCGCCGAGCTTCATACGGCGACCTTCTACTCGAATCACTTCAGCAGCTGAGACTGTAAAGCGATATGGCAATTTGCCGGGTACAGTTTTCTCCACACGCACTTTAGTCACATGACCAGCCATCTCCAGTTCGCCCACAATCATACCTCCTTTCTCAGTGTAAAACTTGACTACGCCATCCTCAAACACGCAGAAGAGTATATGCTACAAACAACATACGTCAGTACAATCTACTAAACAAAACGCCATACGCATAGTTACCGGTGTGTCGTAAATCCCTCGGCCACACTTGACAAGAAATCCTTCTCGATACATGGTGCTACGTGATATGTCGCGTTTCGACTACACAACGGTAAAGTAGTAGTGCCCTCGAATAGCGTATGTACCTCTTTGCGTTCAGAATTGTGCGTTTCAATCAGTTGTTAGTTTGAAAGAGTTCAAATCGTGGGTAAAGTCCTGTCAAATATGTCTGTGTGGGCGAAAATGACCAACGTTAGTGCCTATGTGGTCTCCTGTCAGCTGTTCGATCGCACCTCGGCATACAGTTTCTTTGGTGTACGAAGATGCGCATCCTTGTGCTCTAGCCCAGCTGGCTTTGCGTGACTTACTTAAGTACGACTACAGGCACATCTAACGAAATCGTTGTAGATTACTATGGTATTTGAATCTCGAGATCTCTCGATTTTAACTGCAAATTTCGATGAAGACGAACAAGATACCACCGCTGCTAGATGTGGATAAGTTTGCGCGTTTTAGCAGTCGAACAATCGATGCAGATAAATTTTACAAGACGATTGGATATGGACTTGGTGCTGTGGGTCACTTGATGGCGCATACGATGCAGAAGGAAACTGAGACGTCAAAAGGATTTCAAGCGATTGCCTCCAACATTTCGATGGCTCGTTATGTCATCCGTTTCACTGGTGGAGTTGAATCATTCGCAGCATGGAAAAACGACTCGTGGTGTTATGGTGACGACAGTGAACACATTAAACAAGTTGTACGTCTTCAGGCGCTGTCGATGATCATCTACTACCCACTGGAGCACATCTCGTACATTGGATTTGTGTAAGTAGATTGTTTTTGTGGTAATGAGAATGGCTGCTGCGAGTAGAAACAAAGTAGTTTCATTGACTGATAACGACGTTGATATAGCGCACCAAAATTGTTAGACATTGATGCTATGAAGGTATCGCGACAATCATGTCAAGCGTGGGGGATCTATATAATTCTTGATGTCTATGCCAATGCTATCCGGTACGTTGCTGCAGAAGGCATAGAAGCGAGCTAGCATGCAAATTAAATGGAATGGAGGGAATTTTTGGTCTAGGTTCTTGACATTAACTAGCAAGGAGAAGCAAATTAAGGAACAAATGGATCTCTCAGACGAGGAGGTAATATACTGTGTGTTGTGTCATTTCTAATTATTGTTGATCTAATAGTTATGTTGGTCATCTACATAGCGAGCAACTTTGCTTACCAGCATTCAACTTCGGTATTAAGTCACTTCAAAGCACCACTTTTCTTGTCTAAGTAATTAACCTTTTTGGTCCCCACAGCCGCCGTGAACTCTATTACGTGCAGCTTCGTAATTTTTTATTCGCTGGGCCATGCTTTCATTGGTCGTTCCAAAAGAGCTTTTTACCAGGTGTGATTAAATAATGAGGATGAAAACTGGCGCAAATTTATAAGTTTATTGATTTTTATTGTTTTTGGGGTTGTCATCAGAGCATTTGGTAAGCTTTTGCTGTGCTGCGGAAGCTGCACTTGGCCTATGGCGCTCGTGGGTGAACACGAAGTAATAAAGATATACTTCGATATGATCAGAATGTAGGAAAGGCCTATTTACTGGTAAAATTATCTGAAAGCTCATGTCACTAATTAATTTGATGCATTCGGCAGCGATGTAGCTATGTAAGAATCAATTTCATCAAACTATTTACGATGATGACTAGCTTTTGTCAAATGGCTAAGTCTTCCAATTCCAACAATCGTTGTGACCCTGATAGATTACTTGACAAACTCCCATTTGTTTACCATCATTTTTGAAATGCATTGCAAAGCTTGCTTCTGGACTTCCGGATTTTCATGCGTCATGAGCTTCATTGTCATTTTCTTGGCGCCAAGTCTTTTTGCAATGTGCTTGCCGTTAGGATAAAAACGCACAAACTCGCCCAAATCGAATAGTGAAACAGACACTGTCTTCGGATCATCCGATTCCAGCAAATCGATCAACAAGCTGTTGCATCACTCGCTTCACCAACTGAGCTTTAACAATTTGTTGCAATGCATTGACGTACCGAATGAGTTCAAAGTCCTTGTTTTCGAATGTCATGAAGTTATCCTTCCAAAATTTGTCTGTATGTAGCAAGCCCCAATTCAGCGTTCCTGTTCGCAATTCTTTCTCATAGCGCTCCATAGTGCTATTCAACAAGGTAAAATATGATCGTATTAATTGAGATAACTGGTTCCCATGCAAGTACGTACTTGAGTTCTTTGTATTCGCGAACAAGGACGTCACGGACAGCTTGAATTCCCTTGACAATATCCTCATCAGCCCATTTTCGTTCGCGCATGTTATTAAGTGTCTTTAACAGTCCGCTATCGATCATGCGTTCATTGAAAAAGCCACTGAGCTTGCCAAGTAGGTTCTGTATATAACAAAATTTGTCAATAGTGCGTAATCTAAAGTACGAGTTCTATTGCTGATTTCAAGACTTCAAACGCACCTGAAGAGCTTCGAGGGCTACTCGAACGACCTTTTCACGTGGCGCGGCTGCCACTTGCTGGACTATTGCATCCAACGCTTTAGCAGCCACGAACTTTTCCATTGCTTCGTCACAGAATGCGAGCGTCCAAAGGATAAATGTCAGCTACAAAAGAATAGATAAACCAAACACCATCATCAAATCTAAAAACAAGATCACACGTTTGTACAAGAAATGTTTGACCTCATACGCCAGTTGTGCTCGATTCTGTGAGCTTTCTAGTAGATCCACAACTCTATTTTCTCAACAGTAATCGCACAGAAAGCAGATTAGCTTTGCATAACTTACATAAAGTTCAAATTACATACGGAGGCACTCCACCAAGCTTGACGAATACCACACGAAGCTTTTCATTTCTCAAAAGTACCATAAGAGATGCAACTGCAGCACGGGTGACGTTTGCGCGACTGGTGTCACTCGTCGAAGTCGGCAATGCACCCGTTTTTAACGCTTGTATCGCCCATTGACACAGTGCTTCTGCATCTTCCTGACGTGGTCGAATCCTACCAAATTTAATATATTTTAAGCACCTATCATTAATCCGAGACAGAAACACTATTCATACGTACGTGAGAAAAATGGCCAGTACGTGGCTTGCAGCATATTGCGTATAACCCGTATCACTGCGAATCATTCGTAAGAACGGAGCAGCATCTAATGTGCCGCCCTCAGGTATAAAGTACACCATGCGCTTATGTAGACGAAGACCATCTACAACAACGTTGACGTCATTTCTCTAGTTTCATCAATTGACATAATCTCTCAAGCTTTTTGCATGAACAAAACTCAAGAAATTGTACCAGGTAGCAGCTCTTCCATGCGGGCTAGACAATACCTGAGGACCGTCAGTTCCGTCACGTTCTTCACAAGTTTGAGAAGTGCACTGCCAACCAACGGGCCAGAATCTAATCAAATTTTTCAGCCAATTAATATCATATCCTAACATCACACTTGCTTAACCACGAATTAAGCACCACTCATAAACTCGTCTACAGCTTTGATCTGAAATAAATACAAAGTAAGAAAGTCATCAGATTAAGAGGTGACAACTTGCAGTTTCCTCACGTTGCTCATGTCATCAACACCCGGCTTAATGACACTTTCAAGATTCTTTAAAGCTGCTATTTCTGTCTTCTCTAGCGAAAAGCCACCCGCACTGCATGTCCATCGTAGCATTAATAAGCCAGTAAATAAATTGATCACCCAGTCGTACCGCGTGTAGGTGGCCCAATTGATATCTCGGAACCGGTGAAGCGCCTCCTCTCTGGAAAGCGCTACGTCTAGTGAACCATTGCCAGACATATTGATAGCCACGTGGTTTTTTTTCTCCATCTCTATCACAGCAGCAATTCTCAACACTTGAAGCGATCCTTTCAAGATAAAAATGTAATGTGACCCACAACAGGATTTCTAAATCATAAGAAATAAGGTATTCTCATCAAACGATATGAGCTCTAAACTGGTCAAGAAAATCTTATTTGTCCTAGGCGGCCCAGGCGCTGGTAAGGGTACGCAATGCTCCAAATTGGTAGAGAAATATGGTTTTGTCCATCTATCGGTAATAAAACTCTACTATAAGTGCGAGTGTATCAAGCGTTCTGACAATCGTTCTTGCTAATGCTTAGGCTGGCGATCTGCTGCGCGAGGAGCGTCAATCAGGTTCAGAGCATGGAGAGTTAATTGACCGCATGATCAAAGAAGGTCAAATCGTGCCAGTGAAAATCACGTTGAAGCTCTTACAGCAGGCCATGGTCAAGAGCGGCCGCGAACTGTTCCTTATTGACGGGTTCCCACGCAACTTTGACAACCTGCAAGGGTGGCAGCAGAACATGTCCGAAGATGAATTTCAGGTGCAGGGCGTTCTCTTTTTTGACTGCTCAGAAAGTGTCATGGAGCAACGTCTTCTTAAGCGTGGTCAGACCAGCGGACGTACAGACGACAATGCAGAGGCTATTCGCAAACGTTTTCGCACGTATCTCAATTCGACGATGCCTGTTATCATGCATTACGAAAAGCAAGACAAGGTCTTCAAAGTTGATGCCACTCCTGGCCCAGAAGAGGTTTTTGAGGCTACTGCTGCTCTAATTGGTCCTCTCGTTGTCAACAAGCACGCTTAAACTACTCAACAAGTTGTTGAGTCTGCGACTACATGCAGTAATTGCTAAAATTAAAGGCAGCAGTAGTTGCATTGCTAGCTGAAACGACAAATGCTTTGAGTAGAAGGCTGATAGAAAAATATGATGACGAGTCCGATCCCAAGAAGTTATATTATGAGTTCTCACTTAGAATGTCTCAGCTCTCACTGTAAATGGTAGCTATAATACGTCAACGTAATTAGTTACCAGTCTGGTTACTCCAGTCATGACATTCGAAGAGAGCGTGACGTCTTTTTACGTGGCATTCGCGGAGCAGCAGCTTGATCAGGTCTGTCAAGCTCTCAGTGATATGCGCATCTACTCAGTCAATACCATATCGAATGATAAGGAAGGAGAAGGTGTTCATGATGAGATGCTGCGTAGCTGCGAGACTAAAGCCTTAAGTCTGCAAGACACAGCGCTATCCCGACTGCAAACAGCTTGTGAAAGGTCCGACGTAGATGCCGACGCAGCCTTAACAGCATTTTCTCACTGTGTTGCTTTGGGTGCTGCACACGAGGCCGCATCCAAGTTCTCACGCTGTTTAAAAGGCATTTTTGACACGCAAGCGCGCGCCAGTTTTAATCGTGTGAAAGCCAGCAAACAGGCCGCCAAAGTTAATGAACATGGCTACTTTGACCGAGCTTGCTATGTGGAAGCAATAAGCGAGATATTGACTGGGGCGACGGACATTATGAACGCCGTAGCGGATGTGACAACCGATCTGCTAGTACTTAAATTGGTGTTGGAGCCAATTCATGCCTCGTGCGCCGGAATTGTTCTGGAAATAGTGCAAACCTATGCTGCTGATGCAAGAATAGTGGCTTGGGAGCGGAGAGCGAATGTGCAGGCGCAGAGAGACCCAAAACAGGCGCTGCAGGAAGATGAAGTAGAAGCAGACGAGAGTTTGCAAATGATTGACTTAATTCTAGACGAACTTGCTTCTATTATCCGCGTGCTTGTAAGCTACACTGCGTTCTTGATCACAGTCTGTGAAGGTCTGGGACAACAGGATAGAAATGAAGGGTTTGAGGCTAAGGTGCACGAATTGAGTGGTGTGTATGTCATGTTGGAGAGATTTTACGTTTTTCAGTCTGTGCACAAAGCAACAGTGATTGCAGAACCACAGGAACTGGAGCATGGAGTCTATGTGTCGAGCGTTGTTGAAGATGTTTCATTTGTTCTTAATAAAGCCTTTTTCAGAGCATCGCAATGGTGCGTTTTGTAGACTCTGCATTGATACTATTTTCTTCTTACTGATGACTTTTAATTCAGTTTGAATTATCACACGGCGCTTTCCATTGTGATTGTACTTGTAGACGCGCTCGAGTCACAGTATTTACAAGCAGTGTTAACACTACCAAGCCGTCCATGCGTGATCCCGCTTTTTCCCATGAAAGCAGCTACTGCACAAATAAGCAGACAGGATAACAGTAGTGACGCTCAAAATCATCATAGCGAAATATCTTTTTCAGACATACTTCTACGGGTAGTTGATGAAGATCTGGAGCGAACGCTTCAGGAAGAAGCAAGACATATCATGACTATAAACTCGGCATACATGAGTGGTGAGTTTGTAAGCGCGCTTCAAGAAAAAATCGACGAATTTTCCAGCGCAATTTTTGCAACGGATGCTCCTATACTTGAGTGTTTACCAACTCCCATTCAAAATATAACGGATGCATTTCGATCAATTGTCTCCAATGAGATACAGGAAGTTTTGGCTCGAACCTTGCACAAGCGCCTTCCACAAGTATTAAATTATGAGATGGATGAACAACTTCAGTACGTTTTAACCTCTGCTCAATATGATGCGCTCGAGCTACAAGGATCTCTATTGGTAAGACTTGTGGAACGAGAAGTCTCGACGAATAGCGAATTACAGCGATATGAGCGCGTGCTGTGCCGCGCCCCCTTTGAAGATTTGGTTGAAGCTGCTACGCAATATCTCACGTCATGTTTGGAGAGTGCACTTTTCACGTCAAGAAAACGATTTAATGACTTAGGTGCATTGCAACTGGAGCGCGAAATTACGGACATATTGACACGCATTTCTTCACTTGTGCCTCATAGAAGCCTGCGGAGGGCGTTTACCCGACTGTTTCAAGTCATATTTGTCTTGAATTTAGTGCAGCCGTCACATGTTCTTGACTACGTGAGCAATTTGCGTAATGAATTCACACCCGAGATGATAGAAACACTTCTGCGCATGCGAGTGGAATTCCAGAGCGAGGACATTATGCATGCTATAGAAGATATCTCAAAAGCCAAATAGTAAAAATCAACCACTGTTAACTTTCCATTTTGAAATGAGCCTGAATAACCAATCAAAATACTTACGAATCGCGATTAAGGTGATACAAACTTGACTTTTTAGTGAAACCATGTACGTATTCGTAAACCTATCACTTCATCATCCTGAAAAAACTTTGATCTCCACGTCCAAAATATTTTTTCTTGCCGATATGTTACATTCCCGGATGTAGGCATTGTATCGTTGCTGTGTCACGTCCAGATGCCGTACAAACATCCTCATCGCTGTTGCTTTCACCTCCTCTATATGCGTCGCCATCGCGTCTGACCATTGGATCTCCACATTCTCTTTACATGCAACTTGGCGACCTTGACAGGCTACAGAGATTAATATTTATTTGTGCATAAGCCTTAGGTTGTTTTGACAAATATCTAAATTCGAAATCTGGTTGGTCCAACTCTAAACGCTGAAATTGCGACTGTCCAATTATATCTTTTGCATAAATAACCGCAGTCTTGTGGCGAACGATAATTGACAACAGCAAATTTGACTGTGCCTGAATATACTCGATGATTGTATTAATTGCGTTTGCACAATACACTGAGGGTTCTTTATTTTCATTGCACGTATACAGACACGAGTATCCGTTTTTCAGTTTTACTTAGCAACTACAAGTCGAGAATATAACGGATTATTTGAAAGCATAGTGTAATATCTTTATTTCATCGATAATTTGTTTCTGGGGCAGCAGGATATTTTACTTTGGCACAAACGCTACCCTTTACTATTTACGTAAGGCGATAATGCTTGGTACAATGTTGTGTTTGGATAATGAGAACAAATGATATACCGTGCGTTGAATAACTAGCGCTGTTGTCGAGAAAAAAGCAGGGGGTCCTAGAATTCTTTCGATGAAATCACACTGCTCTTTACCCTTAAAACCGAGCTCTCCTTGCGATTTCACGGTATTTGGACTAGCATGCTTGATCTTCCCCGCAAAAATCACTTTTAAATTCCAAGAACTAAATGAGTTATTTTAACCACACCGTTTGTCATCCGTTAAAAGAACCATTGTTATGGCGTGCGGGGGGCGTGTCACAGATAAAAACTCCTTGGTGGCTAATCCCGTGCGTCTATTCATCATCGGACCAAGCTCTAATGTTTAGAATAGCCGCCATCTAACCTTTTAACAAGGACGCAGAGTTGCAGAAATTTTGATAGCATTTCTCACGGATGTCAGATATGATGATATTCAGCTCAGTACTGACTGATAACAATACCTTTTAAGAACCTTAGCCATACAAGATTAAAACATCTCAGCGCAAGGTTCTGGCAATGATCGTGTCTGGCGTTCTGAGAACTGTTAAAGTTAAGTGATGAAACCGGCAATTGTCGCTCATTGGGGTTCCGAGAATGCTAATTGTGGGTCATGGGCTCTGAATTTTTCATGACACTCTCCAGTCTGCTCAGATAGAGGATGTGTGAGCGGTCACTCAATCGCATAAAGATGATGGTAATATGTTTCTTGTAGGCTTTCGGATAAATGATCATTCCCATATAGTCATCGTACTAGGCAGAACCCCCTCCTAGAGTATGGATGCCCAGATAGTCATTTCGCTTCTCATTCTCGCATTTGTAATCTGCAGCATTGTGTATGATGTCACATTGAGTCCTCAGGGTCGTCGACTTCACTCAAAAGGATTTCGGTAAGGCACTAATATTCATTGCTTTTCTCTGGATTGGCACCTGAGTCACCTTTTTTTACTTGCATAGACGGCGACGACTACAGAATTGGTTGCCCATGGGTGTAGCATACGCAGCTTTCTACATGGCTCGGTATAATGTCTCTGCAGGAAACGTTTCGTCCGTGCGTAATCAACTTGGCTTTTCCTCAATCTATATGGGGTGGTGCGTTACGCTGATTTCCTAAACTTTGTTTGTTCGAAATTTTCTAATGTATGTGTTCATATCACTCAAATTGTCCTGTCTAGGGTTCTTTCAGCGGGCTCCTGGGCATATGCTATAAGCTCACCATTTACTGGACAGATTACCGACCGTATCGGAGGAAGAAATGGCATGATTGTAGCATGTTTCGGGGCAGGGTTATGCAATTTGGCACTTGGTATCGTCTTTATCTGCGAATTGTCCTTTCAATTAAAGCAAATCCTCTTTGTGATATTATATGCGGCTAACGTGCTCATGCAAGGCTTTGGCACAAGTGCTGTGGTTAAGATCAATGCGGCATGGTATGTTGCAAGTGAGCGCGGAGTGTTCGCAGGCGTCTTTAACGTCATGTTAACGAGTGGCTACTACTTGTCGTTAGGCACCGGAAGCACCATCATTGATTCACTGGGCTGGGCATACGTGTTTATTATTCCTGCTTGTATGTTACTTGTGATGTCGATCATTGTCAGTGCGTTAGTGAAAAATTCGCCAGCTGATACCAATTTGCTCTCTCCGGACCTATTACCAACAACTTCAGCGCAGAATGAGGACGAGTGCAGTTCATATGAAAATGAAATTGAAGTCAATTCGAAACAACGAATGAAGCAGTTGATGAAAAATTACACTTTTCTCGGATATCTAGTAGCTTTGTTTTTTCTTTGCTGGACTCGTGACGGATTCCTGAATTGGTTTCTTTCTTTCTTCGACGATGTACGATCCGAGCCACTTTCGTCGGATGACACGGCCATTATTGGAGGAGCTTGGACCATTGGAGGATTTGTTGGTGGTATTCTTTGTGGATGGATAAGCGACGTCGTTTTCAAATCCAATCGAGTAAAACCGATCTTTATCTTCTCCATGATCCAAGGGGGTCTTCTCGGAGTCATCTACTTCATGAGCGAAACATGCAGTGTGATGACACTCGGACTTCTCACATTTGCCTCAAGTGTATGTATACTTGGCAACTACACATTATTGAGCTATACGGTACCTACAGATTTGCCTCAAGAGATTGCTGCGGGTGCAACAGGTGTCATGCATGCAGTTGGGTACTTCTCGACTGGTCTCTCCAGTGCGGTCATGGGCAACGTCATCGATGAAGTGGGCTATCATATGTGGGTTATATCACTGATTGCAGCATCAGTGCTATCAGGTGTGTTCGTGAAATTAGGGTCGCATTTTTCGAGGAAGGTTAAAACGGGGTCTCGAGACCAGCCTGTAGCAATCATGACTATGACCGATGCATCTTATGAACACTCTAACTCGTCTGCATCGTTTGATGGTGACTTCACAATGGTGGAGGAGACGCCCAATCATGCACAAAGCGTTTAAGACTTGCCACCACCTTGTAAAATTAAATAAGGGAAATGTAGTGTAGATCGCGCAATGCGTTAAGGTAAAGCAATTTATATTGTGCCAGTTTGTCGACGTATATCTACCCGGATTCCTTATAACGTGACTAGCCTTGAGAGGCGATGAAAACCTTCGAGTGTTGATGATAATGCCGGTCAAATTGGACTTACAGGCGAATGCACCAGTAACCAGGTTAACCATGAAAATGCCGAGAGGTGGAGATTAGTGCTTACTTGGGTGAATGAGTGGTGAGATCAAGCATATTGGTACCACCAAGTTTATTGGACTTCGATGAGTGTTATGATACTATCCTTTTATTCAAACGGAACGATTGTGCGCCTCCCGCAAAGTTTTATACAATCAATCGATCATAACCTCCTAATGTAGATCAGCGACTGCACAAAGAAGTAAGGCAGATACAAAATTTTGTCGGGGTAAGTGCAAGGGCTTATATAAAAAAATCGCCATGGAAAGCGATCTAGACATTATACCTTTAAAGCTACAGTAAATACCTGCGGTTACATTGGTGCAAGAAAGCACTAAGAACGGTCACCGGTGGATCGATCAAGTGTGCTACAAGATGTAGCACAATAAAATATTATAGCTTTCCTAGCCAGCAAAAATGATGTATACAGTCCTTAGTCTTAACAAGATTAGGAGGATTCCGAGCTACACGGGAACGCCTAACTTTCTTGCTTTAAGATCGCCTTGATTGACAAATTATGTAAGGACACCTTTTTTTCGGGACACGACTCCAGTCAAACATTCGTGCACCCGCTGATTAAATTGTTCACCAAACAGTTTGATCCGTGTATCGGTGCAACACGATTCTCATCCTTAGAACGATTGCGATTCAAGCGCTTAGTCTTTGAAGGCTCGTGTGTTCTAATGGAGAAATTTATGTCTGTTCACTGATGAACGAAGAGTTTAAATGGCGATCGAAGTCTTTCAGATTTCTAACGTTTGCGGTCTTCCATGCTGCTCAGTCACCTAACATTGCTACCTGAAGCTATTCCGGGGTGGTGTTTCAAAAACAAGATGGATTGCATATTACTCGCTTAAAAAGGCATGAGTGCGTTGAGCACCTCCATGCGTTGTGTGAGATGGGGCTGCCATATCACCCGTGACGTCTCCTTACACCGCTACGATTGCAGAACCTTTGCTTTAGGAATAACTTATCACTCACAGCAAGAGAGCGAATGACCAACCGGGTTCCATGCTTTATTGTTAACAAACATCCTAGATCATGTAGTCCTCAAATTCTCTCTTCTGGTCGTTTTGGCTCATTCTCAGAGCTCATGCTCATCATGCAAATGACTTAGTCAGCAAGTAAAACGTCCAGCGGGTATCGTGAGATCTTCTGAGTAAGCCTAAATCTGTTGCCCCACAAAGGCGGTCATTCCAACTCCAAAAGTTGTAGTAGTAAGGCCATGACCAACTCCTAAGTTTTTGGTATTGGTACCAAATCTTAACATACTTGAACGTTTAATGTTCCTATTGACTAGCGACCACAGCGCACAGATAACTTGTAGTGAAGCAGGCCATTATAGTCGTGAAAAATCTGTCCATTCCGCCTGTGATGGTCGTTTGTGCATTTATAGCAGAAAATTCTACCA